TAACCATTGTGCTCTTTGATGCAAGAATTCGACCAATATATTTGCATCAAAGACTTTCTTTGAATGAAAAGGTCATGCTTGCTCAAAATATTTAGACAAATATGTGGAACGATTGTTTTTGATAATTTTGTGGATGGAAAGTATTCCATATTGCTGAATGTAAATACAGTCTATATGATGTGGCTCAAAACGTATTTATTGTGTTTTTTTCTGGAGCTAGCATCAATCCCCTTGGACATTTGGCCCATTTCTGGTGTCCCTCGCCGTGGTGTTGCTGGAATATTGCTAAAAACGGCGTAAAACCCAACTCAGTCAGTCAGTTTGACATTTGGATGTTTCGTGAAAAGCTCTTTTACAAGTCATATTCAGAAGGCAAATAACACGTTAGTGAAAGGAATTGTGAAGCTCGTCGTGTTAGAGTAATTTGCTTTTCCTCGTTAGTAACGTAACATACGGCAAGATTACAGAATACCGGATACCTATCCGCCATTTTTATTTTGATTGCGCATTTATTTTTGCGCACCTCCGTTTTGTTTCCTTAGCAACGGCACGCCATGAATGAAAGCTGTGTTGAAGCAGCGTTCAATATTAAATATTAAAGCTAAAAAAAGGTAAGATAATGGGGGTAAAGGGGGTACCCCCCGTTATTTAAAAGTCTGTACCTACCTTACAGCTGGAAATCATCCAAACTATCGTTTTGATTATCCTGGTTGTCACGATTGGCCGGTTTTTTAATGGCATCCTAACAAGTTCACTGTCCTTTGAATGAGGGTTGTAGATTCTCACAAGATCGATAAAATTTTCAAATTTTTCCTCAACACACAAATATTTCCTTCTGGAGCAAAATTCTTCAAAGTATGTTTAATATAGGCTTTTTATGGTGCCTGGCCTGGGTAGGGAGCGTTTTAATGCACCCCAAGTTGACTCGATGGTGTTTGTATGTGCCCCGGTCTCGGGGTCCTTGAAATTTATGGAATGATTTACTTTTAGGTGATTAAAATCTTCCTCTTTGAGACAGTCATATGCTTTCCAGCAATCACTAATAATAGTGGTTCCGGGTTTGATGAATTTTAATATCAGTGGAATCAAAGTTTCTGAATTTTTGTGTGTTTCACACATGCAAAAAAACACTGTTTTGTGTCCCTGTCAATGCCTCCAAAGACCCACTGTCCCTTTACCCTCTTTCCCCTATTAAATTTCCTCTTTCCAAATTTTGACTCATCTATTTCTACTACGTGTCCCACACCACCTATCTGTTCACTGTCCTCATCAACAATGCAAACACATACTTCCCTGCAAAAGTTGTACCAGTCCACAGATGTACTAATGTCTAATTCTCTACGCACAAAATCTTGTGGCAATTTATACACCCAACAGTATGTCAACAAAAGTAGTGTTCCCAATTCTAATTTACTGTTTTCAAAGAAAGAATTGTGTCTTATAGAAAATTTCCTACCACAAGTTTTCCTTCAACATTTCCAGCATCTGCCATCTTTCCCGTAAGTTTTGTCCATGCACAAATACTATTTTCCAACACCACACTTACTACAAATTTTGCCTTCCCAGTTACCAAAAAGTCCCTTTCTTCTTAAAAAACGTATTAGTTCCTCGTGATTTTTTGCTATTTCATAGACATCCCAAATTTTTATTTTGTGTCTGACATAACGATCGTCTGTAGTGAACTTTCCATATTAGGAACGTGTTATTGTATTACGTCTTTAGAAATCAACCAATCAAAAAACACTTACCATCAGAGTGTTCCCACACTGTATAGTTCCTTTTCCCAGCATGCATTTGAATAAAATTTCAACACACGATTAGTTTTTACTCTGTTTACGTCAGTAAACGCTGTTAAAATCCCCAGATTAGGTTTCCTAAACCGGAAGTAAGGTGAGGAATTCGATTTTAACCTTATTTTTTAACTTAAATTTGTATTTTTCTCGGATCGCTCGCAGGCTCGCGCTCTCTGTTTCTTCTATATATTGGAGCCTCACGCGCACAATAGAATGTATATAATTAGGTATCCGGTATTCTGTAAGTGTACCTAGCATACTTCCTCTCACGGACAATAACAATACGTTGAAGAGCCCTAAGTTTAGATTCTAACATCAGCAAAGAGAGGTGTACAGTTGGTACCAATGGTGACAGCTACTTCTTGCCTAAACGTCCAATATGAAGTCTATATTTGATACCTATCATTGTTTTTTCTGGTATACGTGTAGCATAAATTAAGTTGTTTATTCAGAAATGAATTTTGCAATGAAGCTTCAATTAATTACCATTAATTGCAATCTCTCTTGTTTAAGCCACGCGTTTACAAGATTGAACACGTATGTCCCCATTCCGGAAATACAATTGTGATATATATAATTTATTGGTCATTCGTGAAACCTGACTTGTAAATCCTTTGCAAGTAAACGTTCTTTGTGTCATTTAAATGCCTGGAGAATCAAAGACAGTCTGTGGCGATCTCTTGACAGCGAATCAGTAACGTTTGTAACAATTGTAGAATACTGACAAGCGTGATAATAAAATTCAAACATAAATACTGTAAACGTATTTTATATCGCGCAGGTTTAATTTTCGCGCTTTTCGCACAAAATATTTTACCGCGAAAATTTATACACAGCGAATAAACCTTTCACGGGAATCTTAAAATGACGACTGATAGTAGCATAAAGAATCATACTTAACTGTCGCTGTAATGGATTTCCCAAATCATGTCCAGACATGTTCTGTTTTGACCAATCGTAGTGACAGATGGTTTGATACCAAACGGATTACCATGAAACGACTCGGAAAGAAATAATACAGCAGTATTTTATTTATTCATTAAGATTTTTATTTATTCCTGCATATCACGAAATGAAATCATACAATTCTGGAAGACCAGGTGTCTTGGGGGTAGGTGCTTTCTTTAACCACATTCGCAATGCCATCGTCAGAATTCGGAACATAAGATTGATGTGTTTACAGTATACAGTAAACTCAGTCGTGTCAATAAAGTCAGACTATAGACTAGTCGTAACCAGATCTAAATCAGCTTTCTCGGGTCCGTGGCTACCCTTTCCCGCGAAATTTCTCAGCAGGAGGAATGCTTCCACATTAGTCACTGGTGACTGTTCCTAATGTTTGCCAATATTAATAAAACAAATCAACCCCATTCCTGGACGAACAGGTCATTCGTATACATACTGATCAAGATTGTACATACGTGACAGTTGCAGGAGGTCAATTCTTTTACACTGTTGTCGGACCCGACTGGAACCACCATTCATGACAATAATATACAAATTTAATATTTCTCTAGTACTAGACAAGGAATTAGATAAACAACGACATTATATAAAGGTCCTCTGAAGTTGGATGATATGTTGTGAGATGAAATACACAAGGGATTCGAAATGAAGGATCCTCACCTTTAAAAAAATCTTCATGTGTTTAGCGATAATAACCAATTAGAGTAGTACTTGTTTCGCCAAGTATGGCTATATTGGAAACAAGCTTGCCAACTGTAAGAAAATGATGCATGGACATTTTCGATGGCTTCGAAATAGTTTGCTCCCCACATTTCTGATCCATATAACACAACTGGCGCTATTTTAGTGTGAATAGGTAAACAAGCAGAATCATATGAAATAAAATTTGAAAATGAAACATAATGCCGCCTTAGCGAGAGCTTTACATGCCATGGACCAATTCAATCGACTGGACAATATTAGGCCCAAATATTTACAAAATGAAACAACATTCATATTTTTCCTGCGGAATGACCATTTTTCAGAATTTGCCAGGATACCCCTCTTTCTAAAAAATGTATACTAGATTTTTCCATATTCAACTCTAATCCCCATGTGTCACAAAAATGTATTCAACTGCCTCTGCAGGATGTTTACCATAAATGAAAACTTGACGATATCGTCTGCAAACAAAAATACAAGTAAATCTATGATTTTGGGTGTAACAAATATTCCACTATTACATGATTCATACATATTATCCACAATTTCATTAATAAATAAGATGAACAGTAAGGGGCTTAGGACACAACCTTGCCTCACTCCAGCGGAAGTGTTAAAATTTTCAGTACTGTCAGAATTAGTTCTAACACAGGCTGCAACAGATTCATACGCGCTTCTAAAAATATTATATATTTTGCCATGGTATCCTTTGGTATATAACACGAATAACCATTTCTTGCAGACAACAAAATCAAAGCTTTCTTACGGTCGATGAAAGCGCAATAAAATTGCCATTTAGGCCTGCATAGGTATTTTGAACATAATGATTATAATATAAATGTATATGTACTATAATCGGGTCTAAAAAAATCTGGAGGCTTGTCAAGTAGTTCGTTAACGTTTATATCAACCCAGGCACGTAAACGCCTTTCAAAACTATATATTAGCAAATTTTGTTCGAGAAATATTTAAAAGAGATATCCCATGATAGCTGGATGATTCAGATACACTCCCAGACTTGAACAGAGGGAAAATCATACCAATATTCCATATCGATGGGCATTTACCATTATCAAGAACTACATGAAATAAATCATTCAGATATGACACTTGAGAAGTAAGAGTAGATTTGTAAAATGCCTAAGGGATGCCGTCGTACCCAACTGCCTTATTCCATTTCACCTCATTTATAGATTTTATTACCTCTTCAGATATTGGGGTTGACAATATACATGTCTCATGAGAGAATGAAATATCTTCTCAATCGTCACCGATATTACTTAAGACAATATCATCCACTGATTAACCAAAATCTGGGAGCAGTTTTTCATCCCATTTTTACCATTCATACGGAGAAATATTATCAATAATTGCTGATTTCTTAAGATGACGTTTTAAGATGGTCCAGAATATCTTACAGTCTGGATTTCTAGCTTTTTTTTTAATATCCTCTGTAGCTTTGGCTAAATTGGCAACATTTTTTGAAATTGTGGTTTGCATACAAACAAGATTCAAGGTTAGAATCATATTTAAACTTTCTGAAACGGTTTGGAAATCTGTATTTTTCGGAGTTGAGTTCTACAATCGTGATCAAACAAGGAAGGAATGCCGGTGATAGAGTGAAGTGAATTTGATATTATTGAAGTAAGTTTAGAAATCGCAGTGTTTATATCAATATAAAATAAATCTCTAAAGTCATCCAGAATACCATCCTTTATGTTATTTACCTGGTAAGTATGAAAACTCTCTCTTCTCTCTCTGCTTCTCCCTCTGCTCCAGATACGCACTTGAACCGGTGTACCACAGTATCATTACTGTCGCTAGAAGCGGAAGCGATTACGTCACAAATTATCAGGAGGTGATCCGACTCTGCGCGAGCTTTTTCCTCAAAACTATCAATATTGTTGAACATCGCAGATAACACACACCTACAGTTCAATATATATGACATGAATTTTCAGTTAAAATGTTTTAACAATTGTTTTTCAATTTACAACGATAATGACTCAGAAAGTCTGTCGTCAACACTGGTGGCTCGTGCTTGCATTTGTGGTAACGTTTTTAGCATATTGACATAGGTGGCAGTACTGTCGTCGATGTTGGAGTTAAATCTCAGCTCCGTGTACGTGTCACCTGCTGCACCTCCATCCGGCGACTCCGGTGTCAGGCACTGCATAGATGTTCATGGGGTTGAGGGAGCATGGTCGGCTTATTCTGTTGTCTTCTTAACTGGTACCATCGTCCTGCGGCTACAAGATCGACAGATAAAAATTACTGTAGCTAGTCCCACCGTTAAGGTACAGAATCGTCCTTGACATCCATCGGAAAGCTGAATATACCCAAAGACGAAATAGTTCAATTCAAGTGACTTGCAAGATCTGCATTGTTTCATAACTTCGACAAGATTAACTCTTTCAGCTGAAATATTGCTGAGGTCGGTTTAAATAACAACCAAACTTGCCATTTTGACGTAACTATGCATGTAAAACGATTACCTCAAAAGGCACATGCCTGTGGAGGACAGACTACGGAAATTCTCTGCCACGAAGCTAGGCTACAGCTGGTGCCGTTGCTACAGTGATGACATACCTAGCCCTGTCTGTGTTTACTCAACAAATCACTTTAGCTTGTTACTTGGACAGAACAAGATCAGTCTGTGTCAATGATCTTGAAATTGAGGTTCTTCCAGTTCCATGACCGTATACAATGACACCCTGTTTGTGTTGGCTTCTTCAAAAAATTAGCATATATGGCCTGATTGTGTTCCATTGCTCATGCTGTCAACCACTAGTTTGTCTGGCCTTGTCTCATGTATTTACTTTCAGCAGACATACATACACATGGGAAAAGTATTGAAGTACCACATATTTTTTAAAATGCATCAAATGTCACCATTAACCATTGAAGTTAAAACCAAACCTAAATTTAACTACTATGTGGATATTGAGCCTCAATTATTAATTAAATGACAAATCTAAACGCTGAGATAAAATAATAACTGACGTTTATATGTTTTAAGCCAACGTGTCTCATTGACCGAATGACGTTAGCAAATTTGGTTATTTTCAAGATTCTGACATACAGTCCTCAAGATAGCACCTAACTATGAGTAACCAACCACTCTGTCAATATTTCGTGTAACCTCTGCCGACTGCAATAACATTCTTGACCCAGTGACGGTATCAGGGGTTGAAATTGACGTTGACCTATTGCGCTCCATTCTTGATGGAAGTCTTCTTCCAAAACATCAAGATGCTGTACTGGAGGATCTACGTGGCGAAACCTGCCATATATTAATATAGAGTAGAGTTGCCACCTCCTCTTGGAGTAGGAAATCGCCAACATGCACATGGGACATGTGGTCATCGAACAATTCCCCTGTCTATGATGTTAGTGATGAACCGTTGTCCATTCGGATTTTGTCTGATCGTCACAAGTTCAAGTTTACAGTCAAAAACGTGAGGCACCCCTACACCATCAATGAACTCCCGCCAAACGGCATGTGCTCACAACTTGTTCCGTTGTATTTGCAGTGTTTTCTACGGGGCCAAACATACGAGCCGACGCATCCCCATTCCTGTGATCTCTGAGCTCGACACGCCGCCAGTCCTACTGTTGGGATATCAACTGACGTCTCTGTTGGGACGTCTGTCATCCCATAACCGAGACGACATTAGGCAATTTCGGTTTTTGCTTAATGTCGTCCACGCGATTGCACGTGATGCTCGTCTTTGATAGTAGCACGCGTATCTAACTTCAATATGTCGTGCACCCGTATGGTAATCTTACCATTATCATTATGATATGAATATAAATGGTTATATTGGGGTTACGAATGCAACTTTTAACATGTGTATAGTTGGAATGTTGCCATTGATGAACATGAACAACATCCACTTCCCATTTTGGTTATAGCCTATACACTTTTATTTCCAGTAAGGTTGTTATCTCTGGCAAAAATGTTAGCAAGTCACCATTTAAGAAAATGGTTTACATGTCGCTTCAAACTGAATCTTATAGTCTATCAGCACATTCCAGAACTAAGAATGCAGAAACACATTTACTATACGCACACATATACTCACATGTAGAACACATATGCCATAAAGGCGACCAGGAGAGCCAAGATAACAATCCTACATGCCTACGACTCAATGTAGTAGCGTTGATAGAAATACCAGCTGAAATGAATACATTTGTCTTTTGAAATAAACAAATCCATTAACTACGAACGACTGCAATATTTTTGAGGAACTCACACGTCAAGGGAAACAGACATGTTACTGTGTGCTTGCTTCAAACGTTTCGCAGTCCTCACATCATTGAATGAAGTCGTTAATGTAACAGGTTGATGTTGTTGTTGTTGTTGTTGTTGCTATGAGATTAGAAATGGCCTTTATACCACTTCAGCACAGAAATAAATGCTCTCATGTGTTTCACATGATCAAAACTCAAGGCATAAATTCCGCTGAGCATTAAAGAAAGAAACGAACATTATAACTCACTGGTATTCTTTTTAACATGTATTTTTAAAACATCTGATGTGTGCATTTTTGTGATAAAGTTGAGATCCGACTTTCGGAAATCAGTGTTATGTTTGCTATGATTACATAAACATTAGCCTTGTTTACATGCATCCCTTTGCCTACTGGGGTAAAATACCCCGGGTGGTAAAAAAACACAAATTTAGGCGGTCGGAAACGCTATTGTCTCCATGGAAATATGTTTTTATGAGTGACAGAGAAGAGTATTGATAAATACGGAGAATGGTTGGACGAGAAGAGAAATATTTACCTTGGAAGGAAGCAACCGTAGTTAACTTGATACCGCTTCTATCTCGTGTATAGGTCTCTGGAACGATTTATTGAAGCGATTCAGAAATGGAAGTAAAGAAACCAGTATGTACATTCGAATTTAGAGAGAAGACTCAGTTACAGTTTAGTTAAACATATTCTCATTATTCATGATTTCACCTCGTGACATTCATATGAACCATTGCATGATCGTTTGATTATTTTGACAAAGTTCTACAAGTATAATTATCTGAACCCCTTTTCGTCATCACATTTTTTGTATCATTAACAGTGTTAATATCACACGGAAATTATACCATTCATGTTTTGAAAAAGAATTGGTGGAAAGACAATGAAAGAATATCACTGATGACGTTGCTTTTGTAGCATGTCCTTTAATAAATGTCTGGGATTTGAGCTAATCTGTGACGGAGATGTAATCAATACAAGAAGGAAAATCACATTAATCCCTCACCTTGGAAAGGTACTTTGGTATTCAACGTGTTTCCAGTTCCATCTGGTGCAGAGGTCACTGGAATGATAAGTAAAGCTGGGCAATGCATGCATTGACTTAATGCGAAAGAAGCATGGCAATATACGAAGCAGTACATTCACAAAGTAGAGAAAGAAAGTCAGCTTAGTAAAATGTCGATTTGAATATTAGTTTAGTATATCTATATACACATGAACAAAGGACAAAATGATCGTTACACATTGAAACAGTTACGTTTGAGGAACTAACTGTAGTAACTTGAGTGAGTGAGTTCAGTTTTACTCCGCATTCAGCAATATTCCAGCTACATGGCGGCGGCTTGTAAATAATCGAATCTGGCCCAGACAATGCCGTGATCAACAGCATGAGCATCGATCTGCACAATTGGGAACCGATGACATGTGTCAACCAAGTCAGCGAGCCTGACCACCCGATCCCGTTAATCTGTAACTTCGGACGCTAGTCAACAATATGTTAGCTGCACCACTCAGTCATCCTTGAAGCAGGCAAACCAGTGACTGGATGAAGAGCAACGATCTACGTCACATGTCCCGTCTACACGATCACAGTTCAGTCAATTACATACGTGGCAACATGTTTTATTGGGATTACACTTTCTCATTACAGTAAAGATTTTTGGTATCATTTTAGGTTGCGTCCCTCTCAGAGTCAGGCACCCAATCGTGTGACCCCAAATATAGGATATGTTGCAATTGACCACTTTCTAAACAGCTTTGTGTATTCACAGCTGTGGGGCCGTGCCAGTCAGCACTGGTCAGATGTGCACACAAAGTTCTTGATCTAGACTACCAGTTGTCCGACATGAATTTTTGTGAAAGCCCAGCTGGGTAAGGGTTTAGATCGCTAGCAGCACTGTGTGCTGGCGATTCAGTGCCTTAGTTACTCTAAGAGTCTGTTTTTTTCGAATCGCGGATGGGACCCAACCCCAAAGGTACTAGAATCGATAGTGAACCTTCAAAGAAATGTTTCTTCTTTATTTGTAAAGGTAAACCTGATAGAATAAAACGATGTCTAATAACAAAAAACATACCAAGAAGGTGGTCTAAAAGTACCAGCTATACTTGAAACAATTAAGTCCCAGAAAATATCATGGGTCAGAAGATTATTCGTACATGACACAAAAATTAAATAATCTTTTATATACTTCACAACCAGTGAGAAAACTACACCCCATAGAAATGGGACCATTGTATCTGAAGACACATTATATTCCAAAACTCACAAGCCTATTCTGGAAAGACGTATTTGAAGCCTGGTCTGAATTACAAAGGACAAAGTAAATATGATAATGACCACCTCAGCAAACACGGTACATATGGGCAAATGATAAGATTACAAAGGAGAAACCAGTAGTATATGACCACTACCTACAGTCAAATGTAAAATTTATATATTCTTTCTTAAAAGATGACAATACATTCCTTCCTTATAAAGAATTCGTGGAATTGTATGGGGTTGAAACAAATTTCCTTGAATATACAGGATTATTATCTTAATTGAAAATACGTACAAAATAGAGTTCGTTCAAAATTAATATTTAGAAGGATTTATCTTTTTATTCCTCCTAATTTAGAAATAGTACTCAAAGCTAAGAAAGGATGTAGCATATTTTACAACAGGGTTCTTCACAAGGAAGCTATAAACCAAAAATTGCTTTATCAAAGTAAGTGGGAAAAAGAACATAAATATCACTCTTAATCTATAGAAGACACATAATTTTATACCATTTCGAGCATCATATAGTGCTAGGCACAGATGGCTTCAATACCGTATTCACCATAGGATCCTTACAACCAATAAAGATTTATATAAATACAAACTAATAGAATCACCACTATGTACATTTTGCGGTGTTGAAATAGAATCTATCATTCATTTATTATATGAATGCAAACATGTCAAAAAGCTGTGGCAAGATCTACTAGAATGGATCGAAAATGAAACAGACACCCATTTGAAATTAAACGCAGAAACCATTATTCTCGGAGTCAAAGAGATAAGAAATGATGAACTGAATTATATTTTCATATAACTAAAGAGTACATATATTCTAGAAAGTTAGCAAAAACTGTACCTTCTCTCGCTAGTCTGAAACCAAAATTAAATTACAATTACCACTTACACAAATTTAATGCATACTCTCACTGCAAATACGACACTTTTGTTACATTTTGGTCGTCTTGCCACAATCTATTTACATAGATAATGACTTTGTATTTTGACTCTATATATAAAGCAACAAAATGCTGACCTGTTAAATGTGTATGATATTCTGTACCCAGATCAAAAAGAAATAAAGTGATAAAAAATATAAATACAGGATATGTTGCAATTGGCCACTTTCTAAACAGCTTTGTGTATTCACAGCTGTGGGGCCGTACCAGTCAACACTTGTCAGATGTGCACATAAATTTCTTGATCTAGACTACCAGTTGTCCGACATGAATGTTTTTGTGAAAGCCCAGCTGGGTAAGGGGTTAGATCGCTAGCCTTTGTGTGCTGGCGATTCAGTGCCTTTGTTACTCTTAGAGTCTGTTTTCGAATAGCGGATGGGACCCAACCCCAAAGGTACTAGAATCGATGTGCACACAAAGTTCTTGGGTGCGGTGGGGTAGCCTAATGGTTAAAGCGTTGACTCGTCATGCCGAAGACCCGGGTTCGAATCCCCCCATGGGTACAATGTGTGAAGCCCATTTCTGGTGTCCCCCGCCGTGATGTTGCTGGAATATTGCTAAAAGCGGCGTAAAACCAAACTCAGTCAGTCAGTCAGTCAGTTACAAAGTTTTTGATCTAGACTACCAGTTGTCCGACATGAATGCTTTTGTGAAAGCCCAGCTGGGTAAGGGTTTAGATCGCTAGCCTTTGTGTGCTGGCGATTCAGTGCCTTTGTTACTCTTAGAGTCTGTTTTCGAATAGCGGATGGGACCCAACCCCAAAGGTACTAGAATCGATGTGCACACAAAGTTCTTGGGTGCGGTGGGGTAGCCTAATGGTTAAAGCGTTGACTCGTCATGCCGAAGACCCGGGTTCGAATCCCCCCATGGGTACAATGTGTGAAGCCCATTTCTGGTGTCCCCCGCCGTGATGTTGCTGGAATATTGCTTAAAACGGCGTAAAACCAAACTCAGTCAGTCAGTTACAAAGTTCTTGATCTAGACTACCAGTTGTCCGACATGAATGCTTTTGTGAAAGCCCAGCTGGGTAAGGGTTTAGATCGCTAGCCTTTGTGTGCTGGCGATTCAGTGCCTTAGTTACTCTTAGAGTCTGTTTTCGAATCGCGGATGGGACCCAACCCCAAATCTGCACTTTACTGAGAAAGTGTAATCCCAAACATTACACATGCTGCATGGACTACTTTCTATAGGGTACACACTTTTCTTGTTTACTGTGTAACGCACACAGCAATATTCCAGATATGTCCGGGCGACCTGGACATGATGTCATGTCAACCAGTGGTTGATATTATGGGCAACGGCAGAATGGATATTTGAGAACTGGAATGCCCACATGACATTGGAAACATTGCAACAGGTTTTATTATTAAATTGACACGCTCATTCTGTATATGTTGAATCAGAATCATCCTCACATGTCTACGGGGATATGCACATAAAGATGGGAAAGCCACACTAACTCGGTGCGCCTTGTGGCTGCAAGAGTTGTATCATCCCAAGGGAGTTTAGATTGATAATACAACGTGCCGTTGAGATTGACATCCAGTGATCGAGGGAAAAACAAAGCGCATTTGAGCACCTGAGCTGGATATCGGCGCTATACAAATGTTAGTATGTTTATGTATGTATGTATGTACATGCGTATAATGAAGACAGTAGACACCAAGTGGAGATTGAAGGGTCTACCAAGAAAAGAGATAAATGCATCACTGGAATGTAGAATTATAATCTCTATATGTTAATGTACACCAATAGACTTACCTGTGTCAGGATATGTCCTAAAACTGTATCCCCCATTGTATATAAAATAGCGGTCGTATCCAAGGACGGCAAAGGTAGAATTAGAACGGATGGTTGTTGTGGATCCTCCACCTCTCAATGTTCCCACTTTGAATCTTGTACCTGGCACATTCTTCCATGTGACCGGAGGGCTTAAGACTGTCGAGAGAGTGCCATGGGTTTGTTGAACGTCGACATAATTGTTTTCTTGATCTGTCAATATCAACACGGTACCTCGGGCTTGTTGTGTTGTTAACTCGGAGTAGAGACTTACTGGGGGCACTACAACTAAGGCATCATACGGGTCATCGCTTTCAAAAGGATCAAAATAGTCGTACTTTCGAATAGTACAAAATGTGGCCATGGCTGGCCTTGTGGTGCTGAAGTAGAACGTTTCAGAATTTCCACATTGTTTACGGTACACCCCATCTTCACCCACTGATATGGAAGAACCGTTGTGAAACAGGATGCGCGTGTCAGCCTTGTCAGTAACAACTTGAAGATAGTGTTGCGGGATACTCCTGTAATCATAGTGAGAGTGGTCCTGGATAGCGAGAATATACTCATGTCCATAATGTTTCACAGGCAGTAATTGCTCGAAAGTAGTTAAGAGTCTTCTGCCCACATTGTATGTTCCACTATAGACAGCAATTGTCTCCGTAGCATTAACGATGGTTCTCGTCATATCAGATGAACTGTTTAAGGAGAAAGTCTGGTACTTCTCTAATCTGATACTGAGAGTGTCCCCGTCGATGTATGTCTTGTTACCATAGATGACGTTGGCGTCCAGTCTGAAGATGACGTCAATATCCGCCTTCTTGCTGTGTGGATATCACCAAGACGGATTTGTAAGATATTGTGTTCCGGTGAATGTTGTCAGTAGGAAGACAGGAAGACACGATGTACTTCGTGCCTAATGCCGACATAGGAAGGGGAGAGAATGATGTGTGATCGTTCATCCCCCCTTCGATCTGGATGGCATCATCTCTGACATGAACTAGCACAACACTGGTAGTTGTTGTATTGGGGTAAAAGTAGTCTGTGTTGTAAGGACCGAAGCTCCGAGACCAGACTCGCCCAGAGTGTGGATCCTGTACCTGCCACTGGCCTCCTGTCTCCCCAGCACTGGCGAGTATCCGAGGAATATAATAGCTGTGTCGCATGTAGAACCCAATTAGTGCCATCACGTAACTTTGACCTGTGAGTCGTAGCAATGCTTATGTACTAAATTTAACAAGGCAAAACACAAGTATACATAATAATGTTAATTCAAAGGAAAACCTAGTAATAGACAGTAGCAACGGAGAGCAATGTCTTTGACATATCAACCATGCATAGCTCAGTGATGCCGAGGTGAAAAACGCAGCTTTTAGGAGTGCTATTTAATCTATCAGCAGGGATATGGTACTGACAAAGAGGGGTCATAATCAAGCTGAGTCTACTTCACACAGCTGTGTTTCGGACAATCGGATCGACCAGAAAAATATCACACACGTATACTAACAACAGAGTCACGAATATATTGAAAATTTTGTTTTGTAATAACCATGGTGTGATTAAGGAAATTGTTAATATACATACCTGTATAATGTACTGGTTCATCTACAGACAGATTGTAGCCGCTGTTATAGACCGATCCGTTATAGAAGGACAGAACAGTGAAGGGGACGTCGCTGGATATGGACGTAGAATATATACGTTGTGACTGTGACTGTACCAGTGTGCCGACTTTGTATCTGCTGCCCGCTACATCCACCCATGTCAGAAGGTCGTTGAGTCGTGTGTCTTTAATCAACACAGTCGCTCTCCTGTCAGTTAGTATCTTTAGTTTTGTATGAAGAGAGTTATAATATAACCCGACTGATCTGTGAGTGACATACGAGTGTACAGGTGGCACGGTTGTGAAGGCACTGCTGTAACCATCTGCGCGACTGAGTGTCACCAGTACCGGGCGTGTGGCGGTGAAGTGAAGACTCTCTCCCCGTTCAAGTGAGCGGTTATAGAGACGACGCTCGCCAGTAGAGACTGTGGCTCCAGAACTGAAGGTGATCTGCACGTGGCTTTGTTCACTGATGATCTGCAGCTCCAGTTTGGTGTCATCTACAGCAACAACATACTCCTGACCGTAGTGCTTGATGGGCAGTAGTTGGTCATACACTGTGTACCTATAGGCATATTCCATACCACTATAGACGGCTATGCTGTGTTCACTGTTAATGGCCGTTCCATTCAGATCATAAGGTGTGGACATCCTCAACGTTTGATACGGATTAAGTTTAAGGGTTAATTTATCGCCGTCACTGTAATAGTAGCTATAGTGGAGAAAGTCAATATGTCCTCTATTCATTCGAAAGAATATATCAACAGTAGTGCTCATGTTGTGTGTAGCTATTAGTAACAAGGATCGATAACCACTGTTAGGGGGGGGAGACTGGAAGGTAAAATGTACTTGGTCCCAAGGGCAGATATAGGAAGTGGAGAGAATATACCATCAGCATCTACCACAATGTTCACATCTTCGTCACTTCCGCTCACAACGGCAGCTGTATTTTCTACACCACTTGTGACTTTAAGTTTATCGCTTACCCTGTCAGATCTAAAACTGAGGGGTGTCGATAGCCTTGATAATCTGTAGGTGAGGTGAGGATACTGTATCTCCACCAGGCCTCCAGTTTCTCCTGCTGAGTACCTGATGTACGAGCCCATGCCGTTATATGCCACCGCCACCAAGTAGCCTTCACCTGTGAAGTCAATGCAGCATGGTATTACATCCACGAACTGCGACTGAGAATGAAATTTCGTGCCTTTGTTCTGCTTTCGACGTTAGGAAGCAATAATTCCTTTCAAATTCGTCTCTCAAACGAAATAAATTCTGTTATTTTCCATCTTTATGGTGATAAAAATGTATGCTTCACACGAAACCCGTGGAAAATGGCAAAGAGCAGTGCTCCATGCAGTAGAGACTCCCTTGTTTCAAACGATAAACCGCTATACTGATACAGACAAAACCAAACACCGGATCTGGTGTGTGTGTGTGTGTGAGAGATATATATATATATATTTGCTCTGTGTGTGTATATATATATATAGGGAAAGCACGCAAACAGTATATTTAGATTAGGAACGCAAACCTTAACGTGTTCCTTGAACATTCCTAGGATGTTCAGAAGGGTTCTTGATTTACTTTAACGGGTTGATATGAAATTCAAGCACTATTTGCATTCAATGATCTTAAACAAGTTTAGATAAAACCCGCCCAGTCTTATCTTAATCTGTCTAGCCTCTGATAAATACCCCACGCCTTCGATACAGTGCACACTTTATAAGAGATTAATCGCCTATCACCAGGTCGTCGTTATACAAAATAGTTATGCGGTTTCACTCCCTTTCAATTATGAGAGAGTCCTACTTAACTGTATTGCATTTTTCATCACAAGGGACACACATTTCAATGTCAAATCAATTCAGGATCTTTTTTATACTGTTAATTCTCATGTTTTTTTAAAAGAAATAGAATTATTGAAAAAATTGAATAATAAGTTTGGTAAATAGATCAATGGTAATATAAAATAAATAGATTAAATAAGTAACTGAGATTGTTAGTGGTTGTATACTCAAAGGGGGTTACAGTATTGTAGAATTATTTTTCAAAAGTCCCAAACTTTATAAGTATAAATGAATTTATGGCTAAATCTCAGCATAATTCTCAATGGCTTAAGGGATGGTTCAAATCAGGCTTGGGTCCATGCAGGGAGCAAAGGTACATGGTCCCAAGTATGGTGATCTAACTTCAGTTGGCGACCTATAGCCAGTTTTTTCGATTGTATTGTCCAAATAGTGCTACTAGTTTGAGCTTTAAATGCTAGTTTTTATATTCTAACTGTGATAGTCCAGTTGTTTTATTGTCCTCTGACGACAGGTTATATATTATACACGTGTTCCATTTCAACGTCAAACATGTTCTCGTCGCGATATGGCTGAAATATTTCGATGTGGCGGTAAACATTTACTCACTCACTCACTCACTCACTCATTTACTCACTTTCAGTTATGGTTGTTACTGGAAATACTATATCGACTTCATCTGCCTCTTCATTTGACAAGTAAAACCCAATGCATGTTTCTTGCTCCACAACAGTGTGGAGATTCATGTATTTCCTTGTAAGCGCAATTTGATGTTGAATTAAAAATTATCAACCCTAAGTCTTTTATTTATAAGAATACAATGAATAGATAATTTCAAAAATTATATTAACTTAAGTTAAGATTCATAAACAGATTTATGACACTGTAGTTGGTTGGTTTTATAGTTTTAGGGCGACGGGCCAATTATGACACTGTACAATCGTACACGAGTTACCTACCCTTGCCGCTCTGCAGGATCGTCAAAAGAGCCACCAAACTGAAGCCCTTGTATATATCATCCTTTCCATGGACTGTATCTGGTTCAGAACAAATCGAACATCCCAGATATCTGCTGAGGGTCTGGTGAAAATCAAATCGACTTCCGGAACGATCGACCCAAGACAACGGCGCGCTATGGCCTCTATATACAAGACAGTTGTACAGCTTTTGACAGGGGACTGTGCAGTATTGCTAGAGGAAGTTCAATTTCACCCTTATCTGTGTTTTGCCGACCCATGTAGCATCGTGTACAGGGTGGAGTATAAACAACACTAACCGGGTTTGTGCACATAAACGTTCACGTGCAAGATTGTCTGGTTTGTTGTTTAACGCCGCACTCAGCAATATACCAGCCTTATGACGGCGGTGTGTAAACAACCGAGTCTGGACCAGACACTCCAGTGATCAACATTATGCGATTCAGTGTACGCAATTTTGATACGATGATATGTGTCAAGTACGTCAGCGAGCCTGACCACCCACATAGCATGGGTTACTTAAGAACAAGGATTTAACAAGGATCTTCATGGGATTCACGTGCAAGATGTTAACGAGGCGTTCTTGATGAACTTTCTCTTGCACTTTTGTTTTTTGTACAAGTTATAACAAGATGCCATGGTTGCCGACAGGGGTCATATCGCCCCGAGATATCCAACCGTGATATTACGAAACACAACCACAAATGGATAGAATGAATGAATGAATGACAGTATGACGCGACACTGTGATGCTATGACACGATATAGCGATTGTGACATGATATGTGGATTGTACGACACATCATGGAAATAATATGACATGATATGGCGCTTGTGTGACACGGCATGGAAATAACATGACACGATATAACGATTGTGCTATGCGGTAAGGAAATAACATAACACGATATGGTGATTGTACGACACGATATGGAAATAACATTGACATGATATGGCGATTGTGCGACACGATGTGGAAATAACATGACACGATATGGCGATGATACAATACAACATAATACGACATCAAATGTCTATTAAGCAAAATAAACAACATGGCCACGTCAAACAGTGATATGACGAGAAGCAAATTGGCATTATGCGATATAATCCTACAATGATATGAGAATATATTATCATTGTAACAAAGCGATATTGCAATATCACAATAAGAAGGTGTCACAATAAGGTGTCAGTTGGTAACAATAACGTGATGATATGACGATTCTTTCAAGTGTCCAACTTTGCAGATGCCAGAAGCATAGCCTTTCTATGGGAATAATGAGAAGTAGTGACATAGAGGAATCACCACACAAGACATCAAAACATACGTGACATCCAATATCTTATTGTCATTATGAATAGTATTACCTTGATTGACTGTTATTGTTTGCATCGTCCAAAGTGTAGCTTCTGGCGGACGTTTCTTGGACGATTGGAAGGACATCAACTGTGCATACTGGTACGTCACATGATCGACACATGTCAAGGTGGCAATATTTTACAATATCTTCCAAGGACCGTGTATCAAGTCTACGTCGTTTGCAATTTTAAAGGATACCTAACCTGCCTTTGTGATGCAGGTCTTAGAGCATGATGACCTTTCAGACAGACCTAGGAGTGGCTTTGACGACATAATATGACCCAAACAAGCGATGGAGAAGAATTTAAGCGACGTCTGGTGAAACGATATTTACTACAATCTAAGGTGGTTACCCCCAGGATGTACTGACGTCGACCGATCAGCAGATTTGGCTTCGGCAGCGACAAAACTTTTGTCAGGCAACGGAACAGACTGGCGTTGATGATGATGAAATTCTGCAGCCGCAAGTTGCTCCTATTACCTTCCAACGCGAATTGCTATACTGCATACAACATGCGTAACACCAATATTTGAAGGGAATCACAATGTACAGGTTCCCTCAGTGGTCTTCGCCATATTTGAGGCCGACATAACAGCTTTGGAACAAACTGGATTGGTGTGCACGACACGTCATGCTGAACAGACACACACTATGATAGCACGTGTTTTGTGGCCGTAGAGATTGATGTAAGTTTGTCATTATTACCTTCCAGAAGGCATTCAGTACGCATGCCTGCCTAGAGCAGTAGAATGTTATTCGAGTTCTTTCAATTCAGTATACGACTTCACTATTGTCTTACAATTTCTGATAATGCCTATCTTGTATTTAACATTGTGTGGCTTTGATACATTAGGAGACCAATCGCGGGTTGTGAAACCCTCTGTAATGATGATAGGATATAGATAAGACTGGAAGTGTCTCTACCCTGCTGTGAAACCGTGGAGAAATGTTAAGTAGTAGTATCGTGGGCCTAAGTTGGTTGCTGGCGACCTCTAGCCCCTTCTATACTGTGTTTGGCAGTTTAATTTTACAGGCTCTCAAGCTAATTTTGAAAATATGTGATAATATAGTTAATTTATTGTACTTCGATGAAAGTTCTTATAACGTATACATATATTGATCCTTAAGGAAGGACTTCTATTGTCACGTTGAAAACGTTTCGAAGCAGTGTTCATCACAAGTCACTGGGTGTGTAACAGCAACAACCTCGAAGGAATCGGTTGTTCCCCTTCATTTCACCCCACCTGCGCCAAAGTGGTTCCTATCCCCTCACGACCATGTCGTTATGTAACTAGAGTACAGTCAGACCCATCTTCTTTCCATCCACAAACAGCAGTTCGGGGGATGCAAAATGTCAACCTTGCTACTTCATCTATGGTAAACGGAGAGTATGGTTTTACGACGCTTTGAGCAATATCCCCGTAAAATCACGACGGAGAACACCATTAATGTACTTCACACACTTAACCCATGTGGGGAATCGAAACCCGGGTCTCAGGAGTAACGAGCAAACTCTTTACCCACAAGACCACCCCACCGCCACTGAGAACTAT